GAGCATTGGGATTATCTGGTCTTTGAAGTTTGGCAGAATTTTCCTGTGAAACCATCTAAACCTGTTACTTTTTTGTGGGGTGGTTCTTGACAACTTTATTTGATGAAAAGTAGGCTGTCGAGTCTTTTGAGGTAAATCTTGGGAAATTCAATTTTCCTAAGAAGTTAATCATTTCATCTAGGCTTTCAAAATGTTTTTGCCTAGAGTCTTTTATGATTTAAAAAAAATCCATCTTCTGTTTCAATCGTTATTTCCTCTTTGTAATTTCTTTCTTTTTAAAAAATTGTACTTTAAGCTCTGGGGTACATGTGCTCATCCCGCAGGATTGTTACATAGGTACACATATGCCATGGTGGTTTGCTGCCTCCATCCCCCCGTCACCTACATCAGGCATTTCTCCTGGTGTTATCCCTCTCCAACCCCCCACTCCCCTGCTGTCCCTCTCCTCCCCTGGTGCCCTACCTCCTAATCTACCCCAGTGTGAGATGTTCCCCTTCCTGTGCCCATGTGTTCTCACTATTCATGAGAGGAAACGTGGTGTTTGGTTTTCTGTTCTTGTGTCAGTTTGCTGAGAATGATGGTTTTCAGATTCATCCACATCCCTACAAAGGACACAAACTCGTCATTTTTTATGGCTGCATAGTATTCCATGGTGTATATGTGCCATATTTTATTTGTCCAGTCTATCATTGATGGGCATTTGGGTTGGTTCCAGGTCTTTGCTATTGTAAACAGTGCCGCAACAAACATACGTGTGCGTATGTCTTTATAAGAGAACAATTTATAATCCTTTGGGAATATACCCAGTAATGGGGTTGCTGGGTCCAATGGAATTTCTATTTCTAGATCCTTGAGGAATCGCCACATTGTCTTCCATAATGACTGAACTAATTTACACTCCCACCAACAGGGTAAAAGCGTTCCTTTTTCTCCACATCTTCTCCAGCATCTGTTGTCTCCCAATTTTTTATTTTTATTTATTTTTTATTTATTATTATTATTATTATTTTTAATCTTAACTTTTATTATTATTTTTTATTTATTTTTTTATTTTTTTTGAGACGGAGTTTCACTCATGTTACCCAGGCTGGAGTGCAATGGCGCGATCTTGGCTCACCGCAACCTCCGCCTCCTGGGTTCAGGCAATTCTGCCTCAGCCTCCTGAGTAGCTGGGATTACAGGCACGCACCACCATGCCCAGCTAATTTTTTTTTGTATTTTTAGTAGAGACGGGGTTTCACCATGTTGACCAGGATGGTCTCGATCTCTTGACCT